CAAATAAGGCTTTGCAGAGGCTTTTGTTGGACTTGGTCCAGTAACCCCATTCCCCATACTACTCCGGTTAATCCTTTGAAGGAAGGACGTTGCTTTTACACAGGCACTTTACGACAGAGTGTAATCAGTATAGATGAGTAAATCTACATACATAAACACTACCTTTTGACAAATCCGCTGTGCAGAATAAAAGCAATTAATCAATCAGCGTGCTATCGGTTAATCCTTTGATCGATGTTTGTTTTGTAACTCAGCTGATAATTCCACTTACTGCACTTCCATGCGCGTATTACATAAGATGTAATACATTTGCCACATCAGACCTCAATTTATAATGATAAGTATGTACTCCAGACACAAGAAATGCCAAATGGGATCCTTTGATGGGTAATCTGAGTGGTGTTATCACTAATTATACCTTTTATAAATTCATTGGCTGACCATCAAGTGAATGATGACAAATAACATATGTGTAGGTTTACCACCAAACAAGGGTTACAGCAAGAGAGTAGTACTCGCTCTATTGCATGCAAGTTTGATTGCCTGAAAAAACAACAACTTATGGGCCGACATTGTTTTGAGGATACGAACGGAACTTCATTGTTACATAAGAATTGTAAACCAATAGTGTGTGTATTCTGCAAATTCATTGGTCGAAAAACCTTGTCGAACATAGTTCGATTCCCTGAATTACAAAAGCCGAATAACAGCCCAATGATACATAAAAAGATGCACTACTTTCATTTGCATAATGGAGGCTAACTCTATTTTGTGTGATGCTAATTTTTTTCTTGGTTCCTTTGATGAAATTTTTGGAGATGATGCAATTTTGGAGGAGTTCATGAATGATGAAGGTAAGTATTTCATTTTTTTACCTAACAGAACGCTTATGTGCTTTTTAAAGTATTGATTGAAGAGACATAAAATCTCAGTTGAGCAAACACATTTATTCCTGAGAATAAGAATTCTTAAGTCTGGTAAGAATTCTTAGTATCCATAGCAACCTATATAAAACTAAGATTTGTGCTTAAGCAATATTCATCAAACTTCTTAGTGCTTAAGATTTTTTCTTAACTTAAGAATCATCCATAGGTTACTTAAGCACTAAGAATTTTCTTAAAGTAAACAAAGATGGCCGCCCATGCAATCATCGATAGAACCAACATTTATGAAAAGTACACAGAAACAGAGTTGACACGAAGATTTAGATTATCAAAAGATGGTATACAATTTGTAGTAAGTCTCATTTCCAATGAAATTTCACCTCTCACTCAAAGAAGTCATCCTTTATCAGCTACTGACAAAGTTCTACTGACGCTGCGTTACTTTGCCACGGGCAAAATGCAGCTGTGTAATGCGGACCACATTGGTGTTTCACAGTCTTCAGTGAGTAGGGCCATTAACCAGACAATAACTGCACTGTCTGCCCTTGCCATTGTTAGACAGCTCGTTTCGTTTCCTACCAGACCGACTGAAATCCGACGAAACCAACTTGGTTTCTATGGCATCGCTAATTTTCCCGGAGTGGTTGGCTTATAGATGGCACCCACATTCAGATTATGGCACCATCCCAGCACGAACCTGCTTATGTGAACAGAAAGCAGTACCACAGCATCAATACTCAGGTTGTCTTTGACCACAGTTCACACATCATTGATATTGTTGCGAAATGGCCCGGGTCCACTCATGACTCGCGCATACTGACCGAGAGCGGCGTTTGTGCTTTGTTCTCTCGCCACCTGATGCCTGCCCGCTGCCACTTTCTTGGAGACAGTGGATATCCATGTAGAGACTGGCTCCTCACTCCCTATCTTCAGCCAAATCCCGGCTCTCAGACAGCATACAACAGGTAAATATAATCTTGCAAACGACGTGCTTTTGGTTAGTCGATTAGAGTTATGCCCCCTGTCAAATATGACTATAAAAGTGTAACTGGGTTGAGTTAAAAAAATGATGTTTTTCTTTCCTGGAACAATCTACAATCCTAGAATACATCAAAAACTTTCTGACAAATACGTAATGAAATGACAGTAAACATAAAAGAATGCTTTAGGGCGGAATAGATTATTTATCTACATCTATATCATGTTATTTATTTACATGCCAGTTACAAATTGCAAAATATGCTATTGCAGATTTTAAAATAATCTTCATAACGTTTGATTTTGTGACAGAGCTCATAAGAGGACACGCACCATAGTGGAGAGGGGAACAGGGCAACTCAAACGGCGCTTTCATGTGTTGCATGGAGAAGTTAGATTAACCCCAGAAAAAACATGCAAGGTAAATGCCAGTATAAAATAATAAATGTGGAATACAGTTATTCATCTGTGTAAAACCAATGTGATTTGTAATCAAACTGTGCTTTATTACTTAACTGTTCACAAGTAGAAAATAATCTTATATAATATTTATGTTTGATGTATATTTTATTATTCTTAAAATGTATTTGAAGCATGTCTTGTATGTGCGTGTGCTTCCATGCATGTGTATGTATGTTAAGTGTTAATATATAGGTTTTTTAAACACTCCATTTATATCTTCTTAACATCATCCATTAAACTGTATTGAATTATTCAAACAAAAGAATGACAACAGATAAAGCATGTTCAGAATGATGGTCTTCCAGTGAAACATATACAAATATATGAGAAGTAATATACAGAAATGAGAAACAAGATATCTTACCGATATGTGGCCCCACACAACACTATAATAATAACAAGATGACAATTTTGAATGAAAACAACTTTTATTTACATGCAATTACTTTTCACAACAGGTCATCACATGTTGTGCAGTTTTGCACAACATATGCAAGCTGCGAAGTATCCCCTTGCCTGATGGTGAGTCGATTGTCACCCAGATGACGACGACCAACCACAGGTTGTACCACAGTTGTCTGGACATAACCTGATTTACAGGGATCACTTTGCCAACACTCACTTCTAAGGTAAGGCAAATTATTAAATGTTTTCAGCAACAAGACAGTAAAAGATTTAGTACTAAATTATTTAAACTTGAATATAAACATAATTTGAAACTCACAAAGAATGCAATCGATATTTTCATTCTATGGTTGCTATATGTGAAGGAGACAGACAGATATTTCATTCAGTAATGGGCCACTGGCCCAAAATACATTAATAACTGTATATATTATGCATAAAGTTAAATGCGTTTTACAGAAAAGACATCAGATTTATTTATAGCATTTATGTTTGTTGAAGACATTACGTTGACAGAACTGTGTCGTGATGGAGGTTGTTTCCAATATTTATCAAGAAATGTATTCCTCATATCTGGGTAGGCTTTACAAAGAAGTAAAACATGTATGTCATCTTCAATTAAATTAAGATAAATGTTTTTGAAAAACCATCAATATCTCAAAAGTCCTGTGAAATCCAAACAAACCCAAACCCAAATCTAAATTAAAAAATATTCTTGATATGAGATGCCCATGTCATGTGTCCAGATTCATCCAAAGACTTTAACATTAAATAAATTTGATGTGGTAATCTACATCTTGGTCTACACCAATAGTTACGTGACCTTGACATATATGTAAGTTGAAGAGGGAATCTGCCACATTCACCCAGAATATTACAGACAGACAGATATTCTTATTCAGTAAAGGGGCGTCAGTTACTGAGCATATTTTAAGCTGCTCCTCTTCTCTACATGATAGAGGAAATTTCCAACATTATATAGAGTGAGAGTACTTGTGTTTGAATCTTTTAAAATATTAACAACAGACATATGATTATATATCAATAAGGTATTTGTTTCTAATATCAACATATAGTGCACATTCCAGCAAAATATGATATATGTCCTCAATAATATTGACATTATTCTTTTTACAGTGGCTACACAGCCTTAGATGTCTATCAGCATTAGTGTATCTTCCTGTTTCTATGGCAATTTTAAAATTTGAGCATCTAAATCTGGAATAGCATTTCTTACATGTAAAGGTAAATCACAACATAAGTACTTTTCAACATTCAACAAATATTTCTAGGCTTTGTAGAGATAACATTTAGGTGAAGATTCCACAGAGGAGTACCATGACTCCTGTAAATTATCACATAACCTCTGTTTGAACATAGATGTGAAAGCCTTTGAATCTGCAACATTGTGGCTAAGCAAAGCATAACCCAAACCAAATTGAAACAGTACGTATATGTTTAACCTTACTAGTGCATGTACTTCTCCCACACTCATCGAGTGCCTTAAGCATCATGTGGATACCTACATTAGGCTTGAACCATGTTTAATGAAGTAGATCTGTTGACTTTAAGAAAATATTTGCAAGAACCATATTGTTACAAGTATTTTGGCCAGCTTTTAAGAAATATGTACATTTTGAGAAGCATGAGTAGTCTTCTACTCTTCCATAAATTTCTTTAGTTTGTGTTCCATCATTTTCTTTTTTAGTTCAAGAACCTCAATTTCTAATTTCATCTTCTTATGATACAGTTCATCACATTCACGGCATGGTTCAAGATTGGATCTCCTTGCTAGGGGGAGCACATCTTCCACTACTTGGTGCCGCAGTGACTGTGTGTATGGCCTTGACAGTGGGAACTGCTGCATCACTGGGATTGCTTGGAGTAACCGCCACATCTGCCACACTGGTGACCATTTCCAGGCACCCTCCCACTGCTGTCAGTGCCTAGATGTCTACAAATGACATGGCATCACTGACATTTAAATAAACTATAATCAGTTTTACTTGTTATCATGTATTCAGGTCACAGTTTATATGCAGTTATTTATATAATTCATTTTATATTATGCCAAGGCTAAGGGTCTTTTCATATAGGTAAGACTAAGTAGGGATCACTTTAAGAAGGGTTTTGGGTATAATAGCCCATGAAAATTATAAATATCAAACATTAAAGGCAGTCAAGGGATAAATGTTGGAAAAGAGAGCTTTATTAATCTTCTTGATATGTGATTTTTACATTTTGGATTTCGTCAATAGGTTATTTTGAAAATAAAATTTGTTATCAATATTTGGAATGTGATGCAACCAATTTTATTGAAGGAATTATCTAATGACATACAGTAAAGCTGAATGTTTTGACAAACCTTGACTGAGTAGACTCATTTATCTGCAGTAGAGTTGAGTCCATTGAATCTGGTATTCCTCATATGGACACATTGTCCTTCCCAAGTTTGTCCCACACGACTTCTGCTGTTTCAGTTAAAAGTGGACAAGGTGACGGCCCACCACCTGCAATGTATAGATAATTTCATAATTACCCATGGGTTGAAACATAATCAGACGTAAGCGAAATTCATTTTTTTTCATGAGGGTCTATTCAACTTATTTTGTTAGGGGATTTTTTGGGGGGATATATTTTGTTCAATTCAAGACCCTGTAAACAGCCTAATTTGCACACTGACCAATGTCATTTATCACTTGCACTTCTTTTGGTAAGCTCTAAATAATGTCACATACTAGTAAGTAATAATATGATCTGACATTGCCTATATAATCTATACTCATACATCATTCTCTCATTATTATTATTAACATTGTGGCAGACACCAGTTCTGAATAGTTTGTTGTGAATAGTATATACAGTCAAATCCCGATGAGTCGAATCGCTGGGGACCAAGTAAAAGATTCGGCTTATCGATGTATTCGAGACATAGGTATGTCTATGAGCGTAGAAAAAAAAGATGATTCAATATTGAACAATTCGGCAATCAATAGATATACTTGAACATGCCGCCATCTTGAATCTTATTAATACAAAAAGATGAACTCACTTCTGAAAAAAGTCTGACATTAATGTTTGTTTCTGTGAATTTCCCTTACATTTATCCACAAATTCACGGACGCTTGCAAAGTGGGAAAAATGTTCGTTGTTTGCACTTGGAACCAACTCTAGAAATTCCTCCAGTCCTTCACAGAACTTTATCGCTTCCGATACGGATGGTGGTGGTTTGACGGCAGGGTGTGTCTCGTCTTCATCATCAGACGAGTCGTCGTTGTGACAGGTGCTAATTCTTCCGTTTCCGTAAAATCACTAATCTGCCTTTTGAACTCACCCGACAATAGCGGAAAGGTGCGAGCCGCGTTGGTTTGTTAATTGGATCAGTTACATGTAGTTGGATCACCAATTAACTTCTCATTGACTGACTTCGGCTTATGTATACAAGATTACTATTGTTTGAATCTCAAGGGACCAAATTTCCATTTCGAGTTATCGTGTGTATTTATAAGACGAATTCGTGTAACCGGAAATCAAATGATGACAAAAATAGCAGGGAATGGTCGGGACCGACAGGTACTTCGTGTTATGCATAATATTCGAGACACCGGCATTCGACTCATCGGGATTTGACTGTATTGTAAATAATATATTATGATACATATGTATCACTGATTGCCATCTGTATCATTGGTGCCACAAAGTGATAATTAATTATTGTATTGAGAACATGTTATGTACTTTATAACAATGATCCATGTTCATTGTATACCTCATGTATAGTACCCATAAATAGAGTTATCGCCCTTGATGAATTCTTTATGTAATCAAGACAATGATTTTATGCCTCATTAACAAAGATATTTATATGCGAATGTGAATGTGTAATTGTAAGTTACTCGTATGTGAAAGATGCATCATGTTTTTATGATATTACCTTATGTTATTGTTTTGTGTATTGCAGGGTGTCGTAACCTCTCTAACTGCAAATAAAACCTCACACCCGTAGCCTGTGTTTGAACGTCATTCTTACCCATCACAACCCGGTTACACCATGACCATTTATTACTCAATTTATACTCCTTCAAAGTAATCACTTTTCTTCACACACACACTGTCCAAAATCAATAAGTATGGACCATAAATCTATATTTGAGCTCTTACCTGTAGATACAGCCCCTTTCTTATATGCTGCAATTTCAGACTTGGACTTCGACTGGGTATTATGCCACTTTTTCTCCACTTCGTCATTTGTCCTGATACATCCTGGGAGAAAATGAAAAAAACATTTCATGAAACAATTGAGGACACAAATATGAAATCAAATATTTTCATTTACATTAAATTCACATTTTTAAATTCATGATGTAATGGTATTGACAACCCAATTATGATATTAACAAAGGTTCAGTCTGAAGGTATGATAAGAGACCACTTGGCCCACTAATATTAGTCACATTTCACAATATTAGTGCTATTTTCAACTAACTATTGTTAATATTAACATGAAAACATATAAACGTTGACTCTGTGTATGCCTCTGGTTGGAACTGAACCAACTCCACAAAATGGACTGCCATTCAAAAGCTTTAAGGAGTCAAAATAATGAACAATAAATCATAGGGGTCAGTGTTTGATTAAATAAAATAATGGTACACATGAGAAATATTCTGCAAACACAACAAAACGAAAGGGCCATTTCTTCATGAAAAGTACTGCAGTAAAATAAAATGATAATGTGTGAGTCTTTCACACTGGGTAAAATAAAATGAAAATGTGTGAGTCTTTCACACTTGGGTAAAATAAAATGATACATGTGTGATTACTTCACACTTGGGTGAAATAGAATGTTTCATGTGTGATTCCTTCACATGAAAACCTGCGATAGAATTATCTTACCTGCCTTGATAAATACCTGAATATCAACCTATATTTCTAAGATAAATTTACAGAATTATCAACATGTCAAACCAACCCTAATTCACTGTTATCATTTTAATTCACAAAAAAATCTACATTTGACTAGATACAACAAAACTGGCCCAAATACATTACTTTAATGTTATTTCAATGAACATACTAAGCATGTCGGTTGTACTGTTTGGGGTTCGTTTTTAGGGTTTTAGGTTAGGTATAGCCTGTTCATAAAAAACATAGGCGGATATTCTCAGGCATATAATGATTAGAAATAAATACGGCGGTTACGGGCGGAAATCCTTCCGTTTTGAGATGGGTGATCGAAAATAGCACATATGAACCATCTCGCTTTTAAACTTGCACTTACTTCAACGTTTAAATTCTTAAAAATCAATAAAAATTACATTAATTATTGTAGGAGGCAAATACTTTACAGTTACATATACATGGTGATAACACTTTAAGTGCCCTCAAAATTTACGATCGTCACTTACCTGTGAAGGTGGCATTGATCTGCTTAGTAATATGCGTCCAAATTTCCTTCTTTCGCGCAGATGTCACACCCGGTCCAAACTTGCCGAGTAACACAGCCTTGTTTTCCTCAACAAGGCGAGTTAAGTACAACGTCTGTTCGGCCGTCCAGTTGGGTTTTCTGACACTTTTCTTCTCCATTCTGATTGTTGTCGTCTGCGTAAGTTTTTTTCTATCTCCACGCGAGGAGAGTTCAACTATGCTATTAATAGATACGGGGATTTCCAATACGTCATCTAAGAATATTCTTAGCATAAATTTGTATCCCATAATCCCATGCGTTTCTCACTAAGAAAATTCTAAGAATTTTAAAATATCTCAGCTAAGATTTATGCTTAGTGGCTTGGTGGATTGCTACTTAAGATAAATTCTCAGCTAAGAATTCTTAAGGAAACTTAAGCATAAAAACTAAGAAAATTCTAAGAAGTTTAGTGAATCCGGCCCCAGGCCTCGACAACCGAGCATCCATCAGTATCGGCTGACCGGAGTGGCTCCAGCTCTCGCTTTGCGAAGGGCAAGGATGATGACCTACAACAAATCATTGATGGATCTTTATCAAAGGCGACCAACAGAAATACCGTCTGGGGTGTGAAACTGTTCCGGGGTGCGTCCATACGACACTTTGTAAACAAAGGGGAAACACATTGATAGTTACCTCCCCCTGATTAGTTTAGCCTGGCGAAACGTCTTTCACAAACTGTTTGTATCCATAAATAAATGAAGCATACACATCAAAACACTGCCTCGACGGAAAAATGGGAATTTACAACCATTTTAACGATAACTTAATGCAATAACGTGTTATTGATTGCATAAATATTTTAGCCCATATTTCATACCAAGCCATACTGTACTGTAGCGTGGATAAAAAATCTATGATTTTCTAACAAATTTATAACCTTACCTTCTCTTATTCGCAGAGTGGCTCCAAGAGAGGGGGTATCCTTCCGATTTTGAGAATTTTGATGCTCAAGCACTCAACACCTATCTTCGTTCATTCTACGCTGAAGTGAGGAATGGTCGCTGCGAAATGTATTCGAAGTCTACATTCGTCGGACTGCGGGCGGCCATCAATCGCCATTTGCGTTCTCCTCCATATGAACGTGACATTAATATTATGAACGACAAAGATTTCCATACAGCAAACAATGTTTTCATTTCTATGGTCAGAAAAAATGAAAAAGAAGGGCCTAGATAAAACTAAACATCACGCTGCAATCCCCGCGACCGAGCTGGCAATGATCCGAGAAAGTTTTGATTTGTCTTCACCAGTCGGCCTATTCAATAAAGTATGGTTTGACATAACTCTTTTCAGGTCTCCGTTGATGAAGATGGCTGTGAATATATTGAAATGACACACTCGGAACTCACAAAAAATAACCGTGGCAATTTGACAGATTCCATTGAGCCAAATAAAAGGATCTATGCCACTGGTGACGCGCACTGTCCGGTTTCATCCTTTAAATCGTACAAATCCCACATGAATCCCAATAATGAATCGTTCTTTCAACATCCAAAATCTGTCGTCGATATCCACGATTCTATTTGGTACACCTCACCTTTTTGCGTTGGCAAAAATTCACTGTCACAAATGATGAAACACATCTCCAAGAATGCCAAGTTGTCACACACATACACGAATCACTGCCTTCGCGCAACAGCCGTCACTCTGCTATCCCATGCCGGAATCGAAAACAGAGAAATTTGCAAAATAACTGGGCATAAAAATGATCAGAGTTTAAAATCATATTGCACCGAATCTAGCAGTATACAGAAGAGGTCGTACTCGGCCATTTTGCAGGGTAATGATAGCGAAAAAATAGCAATCAAATGCCACCGCGTGGGTTCTCGTGTCGTTGACACTGTGTCCTCATCTAGGCCCTCTTCACACTTGCAAAGTTCTTCAATTGTATCCGTGATGGGAATGTTTCAGGGCATACACAGTTCTACCATAAATGTCAGCTTCTTGAATCAACAGTAGGCCAAACTTAACGCGAGGAAATCCATGTGGTCGTACTTGATTGGACCAGTCTACGTAAGGTAACACGAGGTGGAGAAGGTAGCATAAAATGGAATTTGTTCATTGTCATTGTAATTCCAGTGGTATTGCAGTAATTGGGATTAACACGAAGACATGTAAACTGTTACTCATCAAGTTTAAATAAAAACATGACTGAATACATTTTGTTGTATGTATTATACTGACAGTTATTCATTTGGAACATGACGTAACCTATCTCTCCCATCAGATAATAACGTAACCCTTCTTGTTGTTTTCCGTATCTGGGGCGACAGCGAACTTGACCACGAGAGGCTAACCGCATTACGACACACGATCTCGATACGTCAAAGAGTTCATTGAGAAAACGCTTCTTACTAATAATTTTAACGTTTAAAACCTCCGGCTGACGCCGTCGGTTTTAAACTAAATTTTCCTATGTTGAATTCCAATGAATCCCGGAAATTGAACAAACGAAACTATTTATCTTCTAAATATATATAAGCATTGGCTGTGTACTGTGTATGTTTATACCTATGTACCTAAGTAAAATTTCAGATTTACTTTGCAATGGCAAAGTGAGGGTGTTTAGTTAATGGATTCAAATATATCTAATGTGTGTTTTTGATACCATAACATACGTAATAGACATCATATTCTTACATGATTAAATACTGAGGTAAAAACACAGAAATAGGACCAAATTGGATCAGTCACTAAACCATCCAAACATTTGAAAATCTCTGAAAAAGCCTACACTGCTGGGATACTTTATTACAATCAGACAAGAACTACCGGGGATATTTTCAAATAACTGCATCTGATGGGCATCCACCCTTCTTAATGTCCCACTGATTAGGTTGAAGAAATTCTGCCAGGGTGGACAGTAGCCCAGTCCCCGCGTCCGTGACGGTCGAGGGAGCAGGGACTGACCAGTTTGCAGCTAGGTTTCGTAATTAGACTGTTAGCGAGAAACATTAATCGCTCTGGATCAGTGGTCCTTTAATGCTTTTCATAAACTAGAATCTCATAAACTCTTTGTCTCTGGAATCATCTGTGATATGAAATTGTGTACCGATTTCTCTAGAAATTATTCAACGTGATCTAAAGTGAATAATGTATTAAACATTTAGTCACCTTTTATTGTAAATGACCAAATTAATTAGTTACGCTATAATTTATTAAAGAAAGAATTCATTTGGGTTGTTTTTGCAGGGTGTTCCTCTTTTGCCAGTCGGGCAAATTGTTTATTTAGGGATTTAGATGATCACCCGACTGTTATGTTATGTCATCTACATCCGCGCGTATCAGCGCGTGAGCACGTGGTGTGATTACGTCACATAGTGACGTAATAACCTTGGCAGATGTACCTCACTTCGAACCGTGCGATTAAACTATGCAGACCTACGATATCTTATGTGTTTCACAACAGTGGCGACGAGGATTACGGAATTCCTACCTATATTGGAAGTGCTAATTACATTTGCTAATGAATATTTCATCGTTAGCAGTGAGAGTTGAAGTTTGACATTGGAAAACGTGGTTAATTGTTCAGTGATATTTCAATATGGTGGGCGTCATTGGTGAAATTGGGATTTTTGAAGAAAACAAGGAGGATTGGGCATCATATGCCGAAAGAGTGCAGTTATTCTTTGATGCTAATGAACTCATTGTTGCTCGTCGTGTGTCAGGATTTTTGTCCATGATTGGAAGTAAGACTTATGCAGTGCTGAAGTCGTTGACCGCGCCGGCAAGACCACAAGACCAGACTCTTGGTGAATTGGTAACCTTGTTACAGAATCATTTCACACCAGCCCCGCTCGTGATAGCAGAGAGATACCGATTTCACAAGAGAATGCAAGCTGACGGTGAGACTATTTCGCAATATTCTGTGGTTTTGAGAAGACTTACTCGGAATTGCCAGTTTGAAGACACTTTGAATGAACGTTTACGTGATCAGTTGTGCTTGGATTAAGATCTACTTCGATTCAAAGGAAATTACTTGCAGAAAATGACCTGACTCTTGATCGTGCACTTGCTATCGCAAATTCTATGGAGTTAGCAGCGAAGGATTGCGAGGAACTACGCAGAGGCTCTGACAGTTTGAAGGGAAGTATTGCTTCGGATGTGTATGTTTTTAACAGCAAGCCTAAAAACTCTGGCAGTAAATGGTGTTTCCGATGTGGAAGCGTTTTTCATCTCGCAAACGCTTGTAAGCATAAAGACACCGTGTGTTTGAACTGTCACAAGCGAGGGCATTTGCAGTCGGTGTGTAGAGGTCAGAGGTCGAGTCATGACGCAGGTTCAAGTTCACGGCCTTCATCTTCCGGAAGTGGCGTGGTGAGCAAACATGGCGATGTAAACCATTCAAGGACTTCTCGTGTGAAGGCAATTGACACAGAAAATGACAGTGAACTGTATCCTGATGACCTTGCGGATTGTTTAAGTCATATGTATGCTTTGCAAGAAGAAGGTGCCGATGTTATTTGGGTGACTGTTAATGTCAACGGCAGTGATATGCAATTTGAGTTGGATGCCGGGTCGAGGCACTCGATCATCAACGAGAGCACCTTTGAAGAGAAGTTCAAAGGATGCGAATTACGAAAGCCGGAAATACTTATGAAGACTTACACAGGTCAGCATTTTCTTGATTTTGGAATAATGAAAGTTGACGTTACAAATGGCAAATATGTACATGAACTTGATTTACACGTTGTGAAGGGGGAGGGACCACCCCTGCTCGGAAGATCATGGCTACCATTTGTCGAAAATTGACTGGAAACGTTTGGGAGATGAGATTCACTATTGCAAGGAAGACAAGAGTGATACACAAATTCAAGAATTATTGGTGAAATACTGTGATGTTTTCTCAGATCAGATAGGTATAATTAAGGATATCAGAGCTCACTTATCTTTAAAAGATGGCATGTCTCCAAGATTCATGAAGGCAAGACCAGTGCCCTATGCTCTACAAGAGAGGGTAAATGAGGAAATAGATAGGATGGAGAAAAATGGTGTGTTAGTCAAAGTTGATCACAGTGAGTGGGCAACTCCTATAGTGCCAGTGATCAAAAGTGATTCAAGCGTAAGGATATGTGGGGATTTCAAATCAAATCTAAAATAGACCTGGCTCATGCCTATCAACAAATGGAAGTTGATGCTGATTGTCAGAAGTACCTGACAATCAATACACCGAAGAGGTTGTTCAGATACACAAGATTAGCATTTGGTATCGCCTCAGCTCCAGCGATATTTCAGGCAGCCATGGACCAAGTGTTGCAAGGACTTGATAAAGTGTTGTGTCACCAAGATGATATTTTGGTGACTGGTGCAAATGATAAGGAACACTTCAGAAACCTCGAACAGATGTTAAAGAGATTGCAGGACTATGGTTTGAGAGT